GAATTCCGCTTCTAATCTCCATAGTTCACATTTTTTTGTTGAAAAAATAAGTCCTAGCTTTTGAAAAAACCAAAGAAAACATTTTGAATGGTCCCATTTTATAGTCATGTCAAGTCAGTAGATTTTCCTGGACTCTGATAATTCATTGAGCAGAAAGAATGAGAGAACCCAAAAACACTGTTTGAGAATTATCATCACAACATACAGTAGGCCGCAATCAATTTTTCTGATTTTGCGGCAGACATCATCAGTGATATGTGCCATGACTTCAAGGACAAAAACTCCATCTTGAAGTCGTTGCTGATGCCTTTATAAAACTACATCATTTCTACTCCATCAGACATAGTCATTTCATTTTACGTGTTTTCAACAATTGACTTTCAGAAAGACTTTCCATAGCGATGATCTCATTAAAACTGCCCTTCAGAACTGGTTTGAATTCCGCTTCTAATCTCCATAGTTCACATTAATAAATTAACCACTCAGTTCACGCTGAATAAAAGGGACAATCAAAAAGTACATTTCAAACCATTTTCTATCAGGGAAATAGAAAAATCATTGAGCGAAGAAAATTGATAGTAAACAGAACAGGCACTCAATTACATAGTATTAGCTTCCATTTCGCCTTCCAGAAAATGAATAATGACTGCAAAGAACACTTATTAAGTCTAGCAATCCTAATTCAATTAAAGCCACTACGATCTACTCTCATTAGCGGAGAATTTAATGAATAGGTCCTACAAAAGGAAACTTCAAAAGTGCAGTAACAACCTTAGATGGTTATTATTCATTCAACGTGACCTCGTTAGTGGTGCTTCTGGTATGAGAAATTGTGGTTGTAACGATTATAATATGTATTTTTAATAGGGTTTTCTTTCTTCAATATTGAATAACTTGAAAAATTTCTCAAAGATTGGAAACTACTTTTACACGATCTATAAAACAAGCTTCAAAAGAAGTATACATTGGGTTTGATGCGAGTCATAGGGATAACTTCAAATAAGACGTCAACGAGATTGAATAAATATAACCATTACTCTCAAAAATTGCTTTGAATTTTGATAATTCAATCTTGATTCGTTCGTATTAATTCGCATTTAATGGGTGATTGAGTGTGAACAATTTTATGAATTTACGTTGAGGAGTAATGATGTGCAATAATATCGTTTTCGTACATCAACATGCATTTTAAATACTTGATCAGCATATTTCCATCATGAGTGTCCAAAAACTCGTATACCACCATAAATAACATTTAAACAATATCTATATTTCTTGCGATTTCACTGTGAAGTGAAAGTATGTACATGAAGAGGATATTTTCGTGCCCCTTTCATTTTATGATATTTTTGTCAACTCATCGACACTTTAGATGCGACATCAAAACGTTGAATAAACATTTTATACGAAATTGTATATTTAATACCGACATTTTATCAGTCATTTCAATTTGATTTAAAGAAACTTTGAACACCATGGATGTACCGACTATACCTGAATTCATCTTAATTTATAATATTATTTTGTGGAATGTAGCCGGATCAATCCAAAATCCACCAGATCATATCTCAAAAGAAAAAATATCTCTGTCATATATTACATAATTTCTTGAGTATACACTTTTTGGAATATTTCATTCATATCTTGGATTGCATCAAATCTTCAATCTGTTGAGACTATTATTGAAATGAATGATTTTTTATGTTGAACGGTTTTATTGAAAAAAAAGGATAATGAAAATAAAAAATGTAGATAATCTAGGTAAATAATGTATAAATAACTCAAAAATTATTCGGAAGGTCCTAGGAAGCAGCCATCACACCACTTTACTTAGCAATCTACGGTATTGATCAGATGAAAAAATTGAATCGTTGGGAGTAGCGTAACCTAAATAAATATGTAAAAACTACGCCCAACGATTCTATTATGTTTAATCTCGTCAATACCGTAGTCTGCTGAGGAGAGTGGTGTGATGACTGCTACCTAGGACCTTCCGAATTATTTTTCAATTTTCAATACATTACCCTCATCATTACTACATATATTTTTTTGAAAAAAAAACCGTTTTGTTTTACTCATTTTATTTTTTTTTTATTTCAATTCAGTTTTTAATTCTGTTACTCAATTTTTCTCATTCTGGTTAGTTCCTTCAGTGCCTCAGTATTGCAGGGTAATATGTAATCTGTCATTTTGTAGCTGTGGCCATCTTGAATTTGCATTTTTTCTAAAGTCTACTACTATACTACGTGTCAAACTCTGTCATTTGATACCCATATTGAGGTTATTGTGAAAAAATTTGTAATCCGCCATTTTGTAGATGCTGTCATCTAGAATTTGCATCTTCATCAAAGTGTAAGAATAATCTACTAGTCAAGCCCTACCATTTGGTGGCCATATTGAGGTAGTTGTGAAAATATATGTAATACGCAATTTTGTAACAGCGGCAATCTTGGGCTTACAATTATACAGAATGGTCTTGTTTCATGATTTTTTGTTTAGAGTTGACTTGATAGAAGTTTCAAATTGAAAAACAGTGCACTTTGTTTCATCTCTCTAAGTACCATAGTTTTCCCATAATTAATTATTGAAAATCAAATATGGTAGGGTGGTGACGTCACGACCCTATTCCCGCTTCTTGTTCGATTTTCCTATAAGAACAATACAAATAATCAACATTGCCAAATCGTAAAATTTACGGAGCTTATAATTGTCAATTTAATAATGGAAGTGTATATGAACTTGTTAACGTTTCAATTATTGAAAAATTCTCTACATGGAATAAAATGTACACGAGAAATCATGTTTGGGAATAAGGTCTACATCTAAAATCAGTACACAAAGTTAATAGATCACAAAATATATGCCTTAACTATGATTTTATGCATTATTTAATAATATACAATTATGAAAATCAGAAAATATAGCAAACTGGATTAAAGAATCATTTCAAATATTCAATTTATTCTACAATCCTCAATCTGTACAACATCTTTCTAATATGTACCTTTCTAATATAGCTACTAAAATCAAGCGTTATAGGCNCGATCAATTTTATTGGTCAACAGACACGCGGTCAATTCAAATTCTTGCTTTTCGGATTATTCTTTTTTCTGCAAATATAAAGAGATTTTGGGATCGATTAGGCTTGATAAGTATAATATACCCCTAACTCGATCAGTCTATAAGCAAACCAGTATCATTTTCCATAGCATGAAACAGGCCCTTTAATTTAGTTGTATCGTCATCAAAGCTAAATGTGTGTATTAGATCTGTCATCAGGAAAGGAGTCAAACTTCAGTGATTGAATTCGACCTGAACAAATGAATAAACAAATAAACAAACAGGGCAAGCTAAATAAAACCGTTTGAATATCTCAGGGTTTATTTTGAAATATTTTCAGTTACCTATTCCTGAACATTGCTTGAGTGGCCTATTCCATGAATTCGGAACGTGCGATGCATTTTTCATACCGGCAATGGGATTTCGAAGGTATTAGTTTAACTGGGGAAACAGCTCATATTTCACGTTCTTCAGATACATACGAATTCATCTTGTTAGGTGTTCGTTATAGAAAACGTGCTTAGACTGCTCACTCATGAATGACCAGTACGAGAAATTGGGTTTGATCATATTCCAAACGGATTTTGTTTTCTTTGAAATTATTCTACACCAATTTTTTGTATCTTCGGCTGGAATATTGTAGCATCATGTTTGTTTGAAAAAGTAGAATCGCTCAAAGTAATGCTCTCAACTGTAAAGAAACCCAATATTTTCATAAAATTTCCAAGATATTATGTTACATACATGATATTACTGGAGTTGCTCGTGTCTCAGGCAATTTTATAATCATTTATTTCTCAGTAGTACGTCCAACATGACTATAATGTAAATGAATGTAATTCAGTTCTGAAATAAATTTACAGATTGACATGTCACGCTTTTTAGGGTTAGGTTAGGTCCAAAGTTAGTGGGTTTATTCGACCCTTCACCGCAACCCGCAAGGATTTATTGTGACTTACACCTCTGCATACTCGACCAAATAAACCCAGCTTCTTAACGAAGCCGATTAGTTTGAATGGTGAGTGGTCTTTCACGTTAGATGGTAAGAGAACGGTTCTGCCGATCTCTTGAAACCTAATTCGGACCCCAACGGGGTAGGCAGAAAGTTAATGCTCTGCTGTGTCATCGTTAATGAGGTAGTCGGATAGTCAAGGTGCAAGATTTCCACCTTGATACCCGCAACAACCTTCCTATATGAGGGTTTTTGCACGTCAGCTACACCTGACGATGCATTAGATTCAACCGTGCAGAGTTTTTTCGCCTCTGGTTTTGGTGAATCATCACTTGAGCACAAACGTCAGCTAAGCTGCTCATGAGGGGTTTGTTTCTCCACCTGAGATAGATTCTGCGTACGCCGCTCAAGAATTTGGTGCAAGGTGGTTTCATAAGGTACCCCACAAACCCAAGGCTT